TGATTTTCTCGGAAAATGAACTTTGAAAAACGGTTTTGGGGCTTGTTAGAAAGAGCAAATCCTGTACTTTCACCCATGAAAAAAGTGCATCACAGAAATGAAAATGAAGTGAGTTATGGTCGCTGAAAGCCCAAAAACTCGCTTTTGCACGAAAAATGTTCGAACGGGACAATTTTTTGAAAAAGGGGTCAATCACTAAACTTTTTATACTGTTTGTTAGAGAAATATTTGAAGTTTCTGAAACTTTTTACAGCTTTCCAAAAGGTCGCATACGAAAGATATTATGGGCCTTCAAAGTTGAAGGTGCGCCTTCTTAGAATTTTGGGTTTTCCACTTCTAACAGAAGTACTTTCCGGAGAGTTAGGCAATCCTTGTAGTTTTCTGAAAGCGCACCTCAGGCACAATCAAAATCTACCTCAACAAGTCAAAAAAGTACGTCCCAAGAAAGTTATTCCCCTCTAAAATTTTTCTTCGCCGCGTCCCGTTCTTCCAGCGCCCGGGTGATACCTGCCGCGCTCCAAGGCTGACGCCGCAACGCAGCAGACGCTTTCTGGCGCAACGGATTCATGTCTAGCACTCTTATTAACAAAAACAGGGGGTCGCAACTGGACCCCCTCGAGAGCTAGGGGGTCGCAAAAATCCCGAAAATGTTCGAACGTGATGGTTGACCCTGGGTGGAAGATGCCCTGGAGAAGAGCAAGGTGATGACGGGTGACAAAGCAGCCGACCCTGCAACTGCGCGGGACTAACACTTGAAAAAAAGAAGATGATGATGATGAAGAAGAACAAGAAGGAGGACATTAGGTGCTCTTGCCTTTCACTGCAGCGGAAGTTGAAAAGTTTAGCTTTTTCCCTACCATGACCCCTCCTTTTGGTCGGAAATCAAAATCAACAATCAAAGCATTTCAATAACGGATTATACGAAAGCCAAGGTCAGTTTCACTTTAGAATAAGAATTACTAAGTCGTTGAACTCAAGCGGTCATCCGGGGCAACCAGGGCGTCCCTACTCAGTACATCAAGATTCTTCGTGAGCTCTACAGCAACTTTACGACCAGAATCTCACCATTCTACAAGGAGGTCATCATCGACGTCAAGAGAGGGGTTCGACAGGGCGACACCATCTCGCCCAAACTCTTCAGCGCCGCTCTCGAGAACGTCATGCGTCAACTGGAATGGGAAGACATGGGAGTGAAGGTCGACGGCCGGCAACTACACCACCTTCGTTTTGCTGACGACATCGTTCTTATAACGCCGAACATCGAGCAAGCGGAGCGAATGCTGGCTGATTTCGACTGCGCCTGTGGTAAGGTCGGTCTACAGCTGAACCTAACGAAGACGATGTTTATGAGAAACGGATTGGTTCCTGATGCCCCATTCACGCTCAACGGAACGAACATCACCGAATGCTCCAGCTACGTGTACCTAGGTCGGGAAATCAATATGATGAACGATCTAGCTCCAGAGCTGAGCAGGAGGAAACGAGCGGCATGGGGAGCGTATAAGAACATCGAGGGAGTAGTGAAGAAGACGAAGAACATCCGGCTCCGTGCCCACCTCTTCGATTCCGCAGTCCTTCCTGCCCTAACCTACGCCTCAGAGACTTGGACTCTGCGCAGGCAGGACGAGCATGCGGTCAGCGTTATCCAACGCGCTGTCGAGAGGACGATGCTAGGAGTAACCCTATACACGCAAGTGCAGAGGGGAATCCGGAGTGGAACTACGCCAACGATCGAAGATCAGGGACGCTGTTTTCGCCAAGGAATCGAAGATAAGGTGGGCCGGACACGTCATGCGATTTTGCGATGACCGTTGGACCAGAGCGGTTACCGACTGGATCCCTCGGGACGTCAAACGAACACCTGGACGACCGCCGGCCCGATGGTCAGACTTCTTCACGAAAGCTCTGAACGAAAGGAATGAAGGCTTCGTGTCCCTCGAGCGAGGAGGGTCCACTGGACAACTCTTGCACGCGACAGGGACGAATGGAGACGTTGCTGGCGCCCGCTCGAGCAGCCGACAATCGCAGGGACTGCAGATGATACAGGTGATGTTGCTCATCGTGCCATTTGCTTCTCTAGGTCAAAAATAAGAGAGTTTCCGATTTCTTGACTGCCACTAATCTTTCTAAAAACTCCAAGTGGTAGCTGTATGAGGGGCGTACCTGCGGCGTCAGCTCTTTGGTCATAGATAACTGAGTACTCGAGCATTGGCCAGTCAAATACAACATTGATGAACATCACATCTCGACATCATTGGTGAGAGCATTAGTATCCCTTTTCCAACTTGAAGTTCGGTGCTTCGCTTTTAGGAAGAATGCCCTGAGGAACAGATCGCTAGTAGTTGAAGCATCGAAGAATTAGAGCTATAGATTACCTACAGAATAACCTGTATATGTGCTTCTGTGCCTGTTTCTTCAATATAGGTTGAGACATGCCAGGCATTCGATTTGGCATGAATAGCAAAATAATCATAGCAAAAAAAAACGGAAATAAGAACAAGGAATGCCGAGTTAACAAGAAGAGAGAACTTGGAGAGCATTCCGAGCATCGTCCTCTTGACAACACTTTGGATAACGCTGACCGCATGCTCGTCCTGCCTGCGCAGAGTCCAAGTCTCTGAGGCGTAGGTTAGGGCAGGAAGGACAGCGGAATCGAAGAGGTGGGCACGGAGCCGGATGTTCTTCGTCTTCTTCACTACTCCCTCGATGTTCTTAAATGCTCCCCATGCCGCTCGTTTCCTCCTGCTCAGCTCTCAGCTTGGGCGAAATGATGTCACCCTGTCAAACGCCAACGATGGCCTCAAGCAGCGCTGAGTTGAAAGGTCTCATATTAACCCGAAATCTGGCGACTGTCGGCGTCCATCCGAATCAAGAATTCAATCCGTAGCAGTGTCGTCAATGTACCGGAAAAGTGGGCCCGACAAGAAGAGTAGGTAAACGATGAAGAAGATAAGAGTGAGCCACTTGTCGGTTCAGCTACGCGGGCCTCAAAGTTTGCAATCCCTAATTCGGTCTAACGACCACGAATATTGAGGCAAACGAAATCCTGTAGAGCAGAAAAATACATTTTAAACGGCGTATGACCTAATGTGAGATATGGCATTCGAGAGGAAAAGTTTCCATTAGATAATGAACGACATCCTTAGCGATGCAACTATCATACGAAGACGAGGCCAATACTCTTTCAGTAAACACTACAGGGGTGGCCAAAAAAAGAGACACTTCACTAAACATTCAAAACGGAATTATTTACGCGTTGCGAGACCAAATCACAGCTATGTCTCTAAAAGCTATTCACAGTTAATCCATTGAAGAAATTATGTAGCAGCTTCAGGCCGGAGCGATTACGGTAAGCCTCGTTGAGCTCGACGGTGACGGCAGATGACGTCATATTCTGAAGACGGTGGGGGCAGTGAAGGAGGGCCTGCTTCTGTTTACGGGGAACACCTAAGGAACATTTCCGCCGTGAACCTTTTATTAACTTCGGCTCCCTGTGCAACGAAAAGTTTGATGACG